GCACAGTTGCTCTGCTAGGCAGCCTATATATTGTATCTCCTTTGTGAGGCTATATGCCATGAGCCCACTAGTTCAGTTTGATGTTCCAGATTCCATCTTCAAACATAGTTTAAGTATCTTGTAAAGCTTCTCTGTGTACAGTAGAAATGATTTTCACTTCCTCCTTCAGGTCACTACTTACCCTATCATCTACAATTAAGTACTTGCATGACTGCTTTTCCCACATCTGCTTTGTGTTTTTATGTGTTACCCATCCCATCCATAAGTAAACACTACTTTAAAATGCTTAAGCATAAAAAAATGAATGTTCTTTATACATTTAATGGGTTTAGCACCTAAATTACCATGTGAATAACAGATAGCATGCTCTCACAACACATTGTGTTTAAGATCCTATCCTAGTACACCAGGAGACTCACAGGCAAAATGAACATTGACTCTTTCATCTAAATGTTCATGTCTAGAAAGTTCAAGGACAGTACATAGAACTATCAAGAATTGAAATATTCAGAGCCAGTAGAATACATCAGCTTAACAGTCCTGGCTATTACAACTGAGTGATCTAGGTAGAATACATTCTGGAAATGACTTTGAATCAATTTTTAAAGGATAACAGTGAAAATTGACTTTTCAATCTGAGGTGCTGCACATGTAACCTTATTGTAATGGAGATAATCACTGTTTTCAGTTACAGCAAAACCAAAAACAAACAAATGTTTTTGCAAAGAAGAAGAGACAATGCTGAAATGAGCGCAGTGTGCTGGAGAGCCTTCAAGGCACATCATTGAAACACAGATAGGATGTGATGGGTAAGAGTGAACCTCTCTACATTCTAGTAGAGGACATGTTTGGGCAAACACATTATTTGCTTGTGAGAAGACTTAATATCATTATGTATTTTCTAAAAAACCAAAATTGATTAAAATATAATGAAATGTTTCATAGTCAGACAATATATACCAAGAGTCAAGTTTTAGTCTGAAGCAAATAACATGCTAAAATTAACAAAACCAGAATCCAAATTGCATCTTAAGTTCCCTATAAAACTGTCTCCTTAGCAAGGGTGTTACTGTTCACTAATTGTAGACAAATCTCTTTCTAATCCAACATCACTATCTAGTATTGATTAGAAGAAAAGCACTGTAACATGCCAGCAAGCTATCTGCAACTGCTATGCCTAAGATATTCAGAACTACAATCCTTCCTTCCTGCCTCAAAGTACATTTACTAATCTACACAAAAGAAATTGGGGAGATAGGAAATGAGAACTAAACAAAATACATTGTCTACCAGAAAGCTCTGGTTACTAAATAATCATGACTTGTACTACATCTTTTACATGATCCAGGAAGGAATGTCTAGTTAAGTTGAAATACCAAATCCTACAGTTGGATAAACCCTACAAAAGTGATTTTTTTCTTCAAATGTTATTTTTCATTCTGTTATTTCTATGTTAGGTTCTTACTCCATTGCTCAGGCTGCCTGGAACTCATGGTCTACCTCCTATCTCAGTCTCCCACATAGTTCTGGGATTATAGTCACACTCCAAAGTAACAAAGTGATGTTTATGCTTCCAATTAATATTTTATAAGGCTCTAAAACAGTTCAAGGATCATCTCCCTTGGACAAAAAGACTGAGGTCAACAAAAGGGCACTTGAGGTTTTGAGAACCATTCACTTTTATACAGTGAATAATCCCCTGTTTGCTAAGCTTTTAATCTGGTCTTTATCTCTTTAGCTGTTTGTGATCATCACAAATTGTTAATAATGTTCCATTTAATTTCCAAGGATTTCCTCACCATATGTGTCTTTTTAGAGGGTCATACAGAATTGTTTCCCCTGTGATAGATTATAAAACAGTGATCAGGCACGGAACTCTGGCATACTTGAAAGGCAACCTTAAGAAAAGTAAAATTGCTCAATTAGGAGAATGACTTTTAAAAACCAAAACACAAGAGTGAGAAAAACTCATTTTCTCAAGATTTTACTAGAAGAAATTTTTCTAGCCTAATTTATATAAATTATTCAGATTTCCATATCATTGACAATGTATATATAATTTCCATCTAGTGTCAAAGAGTTCAGTTTTTACACTCTAAATTCTTGATCATACAATTGATTTAAGAAAGCAACATCCCCCATTGATACCTTAACCCCAGGGCATCTATAAATTGATCATCTTCATCAACTCTTTCCACCTATACATTCACCTATAGCACTGTAGCACAGGGGGTAAATGTTAAACTTCCTGCATCTCATTCATAATATTTCTCTAATTTATCTGGCTTCAGAGCTTCTTGTCATATTTTAGTTGAACTAATCCAGGCCGGGGGTGGGAAAAAATGCATCACCAAAGACGAACACAGTTCCCTATAGCAGGCAGCTGCTTTCCTTGCGAATGATTCATTTAGAACAGTGGCAGCTTCCAGACTTCACACATGACTTCCCCAAATTTGCTGAATTTAGCATTAGCCAGCCTGGTACTAAAACACTCAGAACTCAAAGACATGTGGGTGAACTTACATCTTCCTCTGCAGTCTTAATCCAAGAGCTCATACAGCTACTTCTGATGATTAACTTGTTGTATTTCTACTTGTAAACACATCCTGGTGGCATTTATAAAAGTCAGGTAGAGATGTGCCAGTTTGGGAGCCATTCAAGTTTCCTTGTGATTACATTTTGAATCATGTAGGTGGAATAAATGAATTTATATTAAATTCTGGAGGGTGCTTCTATTTCTTCGTCTTTAGTGAGAGTGTTGCTATCAGTCATTAAACATTCATGATACATATTATTATATGAGGGTATCATATAACCAAGAAAACATTCTTCAGCTAAATGAGATTCTGAATCCTTTATTAGCAAGGTCATTTATTTATAAGAAATATCTTGCCAACTCACAGCTGTCTCCTGTATGTGTATGGTTATCAAGTATCACTAAGTGCATATTAAATTGCATTTCACAATAATAATATCAGGCAGGTGATGTTTCTGAATGATATTGTGGGCACCTTTGAAATCCTGTCATGCTGCAGATCTAGGTGCCTGTGACCATTGCCAGGAACAGAAAACGTTGGTGTTAAGGAGTGTCCTCACTGGCCACATGATCTGTCATTTTATCTGATAGGATGCCATCTGTTCATCCTGCTGCCATTCTCTGGGATAACTGGGTTAGCTGAAAGCCATTAAAAAATAGTCTCACTGCCTACTGTATTTTTAATGGACTATGTAGCTCTGTTCGTGACTTTTCTCCCATTGACTATGTGTCAAAATATTTTTGTGCCCTTGTTTTCAGAGTAGCTGTTTAGTTTTATAATGTTGCAATGACTACATTCTCATGTAAGAAAAGTTCTGTATAGTTCCATAGACAGTTTACAAAATAGTGGGATAATGGGGTGTTTATTAAAAATTAAGAGTACAAGCTATAGTGAGATGTGTACACTTTTGAAGGTTAAGTACATCACTCTGGAGTCAGATTTCCATGATAAGAATCCCATATCCAGCCCTTACTAGCCTCTGAACCCCAGGCAAGGAGCCTTAGAGTGTTTAATTGTCATAATCTGAAAGTGATGACAACAAAAGAATCAATCTCATTGAGTTGTAGAGGAGATTCAGGGAGCTAATTTGTGCAAAGAATCAACAACTGCCTGTCATTAATATTATGTCCCCAATAAATATTGGTTATTATTATAAAGAATCATCTTGGATTGCTATTTTCAAATTATTGCAAGATAGCTTTGAGAACTGAACATTAATTTCCGTTTAGATGTGTATACTATATATAGAAATGATGCAAGTAAATCCAATTTCTCAAATATGCTTCATTTGATTTTAAATACATTCCAGATCCATATTTTAAGAATGATCCATTTTATGGCTTTCATTGGAGTATTAGGCAGTGTTTAATTATTGTGTGTCATTTCCTGAAATCCTGTGAACCAAAATGTCATTGACAAGCTTGCAGAAAAACATTGCTACAGCTGCCCAGAAAGTAAATAAAACTTGTATTTCATGACTTCCTTAAAACCATAATTTATCTTTTAAAATACCAAAAGGCATTTCTTTAGGAGCAAAACAACAATCTATAGTCAGTGTACTGCTTTCGTTAGAGTGTTCCGTTAGGCAATCTGGAGGTCTTTTGAGCTCTTGTTCTTATGTAATCAGATTCAGTTTATAATTAATACAAAGAGCCATGCATTTGAAGGAAAAAGCCAAAAACAGGTTAATATGCTAGCTGTGGAAAGAGGTACTTATTTGCTTGATGGTGGTATATTTAACTCAGACCTTTGGAAAATTTGGTTGGCAGGGTTCTTTCACCATCCTACCCACTGTCTAAGAACAGCAGATGTCCTATTCAACATCAAGAGGTCTAATTGACTAGATTTACTGCATTTATTCCTTTATGTTTTCTGTGTAGTAATTTCCATCCTAGGTATGGTGTTTTTTCACTGCCATTAAATGAACCAACTGGCAAAAACTATAATGAATAACTGCAGGCAACAAAAAAACATGAACAGGCTTAGTATGTTAAGCTCAAATATGAATTTATAGAATTGAGAGACAACCAAGGAGACAATGTATTTTCCTCAAGCATAAATTCACTGAAATTTCAATATTGTTAGAAACATATATCAGCATTTTTATACATAGTGACATATTAGATTAGCAATCATATCCTAGACATCTTTGTCAAAGACAAAATTTGATGCATTCTTATTAAATAAAAAGAATCTTCCACATCATGGGAGACTAGGAAAAATATGTCGGTTAAAGTGTATTTGCTTAAAATATATTCAATTGGTAGAATGTTTTATAATAATTTTCACTTGGCTCAAATCTTTCAGAGATACAACTATCACATAAATATCAGAAAAGAGAACTCTTGGAATTATTAGTCTTAAATTTTGTACAATTCATTAAATAGAACACATCCATATTCAAATAGCCATCATAAAATCGCATAATACAGTAGCTTTAAGAAAGAAAAACATGTGACTTACCTCTTCCCATTGATGTATGTATCTAATTAACCTTGAAAGACGTAATAAACGCAAGAGACTGAGAATTTTTGTAAATCTCACAATTCGAAGGGCTCTGGCTGTTTTGTAAACTTCTGAATCCATTCCTTTCTCTACAATAAGAAAGATATAATCCACTGGAATTGATGAGATGAAGTCAACCACAAACCAGCTTTTTAAATAATTCATCTTGATTACTTTAGGGTCCAGGATGATTTCAGAGCTGTCTTCATTGACAGTCCCAGTCCTAAAATTCATGATTAGGTCCAACAGGAAAACGGTATCTGATGCCACATTGAATATAATCCATGGCGTTGTTGTTTGTTCTGTAAAGAATGTGATTCCAACTGGTATGATGACCAAATTTCCAACCATCATTATAAGCATTATTAAATCCCAATAAAACCTACAATAAATAAGAGAAAATCACATTTTAATATGTAGACAGTAATCAGCCATTTTCCTGACAGATAACAATTATTAAAAATATACTGCAAAATTTATGAGACCAACAAATGTTTTTAAACATTATTTTTCCAAATTGCTGGACATTGATTATGATAAAAACAAGTATGTTACTAAGGCAAGACTTTATGATTTGTGTTCTAAATATTAATGTAATTCATTATGCAAATGAAAATTTAAAAAAATCCAGTTCCAACAAAGAGGTAAAAATAAGGCACCTATTTGATGCTAAATACCGATAGAAACCTTTTTCAGAATAATAAGTAAATGCAAGGAAACAGGTTCTACCTTCAAATCTTGTCTTTGATACAATGTTTAGAGGCATTTTGAAACACTTTGTCAATTTATCAATCATAGAAAAGATTAACAATTAACAGGTGGCATTTTCTAAGAATTTCATTGGTAATAATTAATCACTAAGAGTAAAAATTTGGTCAAGTATAGATTCTAACCTTTATTACAGTTTTTCAGTATGTTGGTGTTTATGTCTGTCCCTGCTCCAGATAAAAGAAGACTACCTTGAGGCTGAAGTTGAAAATTATTAGTCTCTTCTAGGTTTGAAGCAGGAACCAAGTTAAAATTTCAATGTTATGCCATTTCATTGAGCATCTTTGCAAAATATGTTGTGCTATCTTCCAAAATAACTTTTGAATTTCAGACATTTTTGAACATGCATGTGATTACTACATGTATTTTGAAGAATCTCTACCCTAACTATGAAGTGGGTAAATGAGACTTAGAATCATGTGTTAGACAGATGAACAGAGATGTCTGAGGCACACTTTTGAGGGATTGTCTATGTTAGGTTACTTAAGGTGGAAAAGCTTCCCACTGGGAGCAGTCTACAGACTAGATTAGGGCAGAATAAAAAAGAAAAAGTGGGGGGATAAGAATTCATTGTCCTGTGCTTCCTGAGTGACCAGCAGCCTAGAGTTCCTGCCACCAAGACTTCTTCACCATGATAATACTCTCAAAATGTGAACCAAAATAGAACCTTCCTCCTAAAATTGTGTCATATTTTATCACAGCAAAAGAGAAAGTAACTAACACACAAATTAACCTTAAAACTGGAAGAAAGATAGGAACTTTATTTCTAGTGTGTATAGCTAACACTAATGAGAAATGACTGTAATGTTATTTCCATGAAGATTCTCTCAGACCATTGACACCACAATTAATTCATTAAGTAATTGACTATTTTAGTTGTCAAGTACACCTGTAGTTATAAAAGGAAAAATAACGAGTCAGTTATCATAGCTATATAACCATAGAATAGTCTCTGAAAACAAGCACAGTTTTTCTAGTGGTAGGGATTCTCCACTGGCAATTTTGTTGCATTAATAACAAACTTTAATAGTTGGCAGAAGTTTCAGTCAACCAAGATAATTTGTTTTGTATTTGAGCTGCTTAGTTTCCTTGTCAATTTAAACACAAGCTAGACTCATCTAGGAAGAGAAACCTCAGTTGAGTAAATGCCTCCCATCAGACTGGTCTAGAGGCAAGTATGTGGCATTTTCTTGATTAATGACTGATAAGGGAGGGTCATGCCCACTGTGGGTAGTGCAGTCCCTGGATAGATGGTCATGGGTTGCATAAGAAAAGAAGCTAAGCAAGTCATGGGAAAGAAACAAGTGATCAACATTCCTCCATAGTCCTACTTCAGTTCCTGACATGAATTCCTGCCCTTGACTTCCTTTCAGGAAGGACTGTAATCTGTAATAAGAAATAATATTCCTCCAAGACGTTTTGCCAGTATTTTATCACAGCAATAGAAAGTAGAACAGAAATCAATACCACAGAATGGAGTATTACCAAGACTTGACCACAATGTTTTAGAAGGATTTTGGAAGTGTCTGAATCTTTGGGCTGGAAAACCATTGACTGCTCAAAGATTAATATGCTATTCAGGGGTACTTGGAAAATGAGAATCTAGAGAGAAAGGCCTATAATGGAAGCCTGGATTGTGAAGTGGCAAATGAAAGTTTGAGAACCCCAAGAGGACTATCGGGCCTATTTGAATTAAGACCCTGTCATTTCTGGTCAGCTAGAGCTGAAGAATCAGGTGCAATTAACAAGAAACAAGAGCCACTTAGGTAAAAATGTTGTATTAGTTGGACAGTAGTAGATGCTGGTTATCTGGGGCTGAAAACTCATCTGTGACTGGCGAGAGCATCTTTGAAGTGAAATCTTCTGAGAAGTATATCCTCAGAGTCAGCACACAGCTATGTCCCAGGGCAACTAAGACTGCACCTTAAGATGGAGCTAAACTTAGTAAACTATGAGCCTTCCATATAGTGATTTTTGGTGGCATGAAAACTGAAGCATTGAAGGAGTAATGGAGAGAAACTAGTCTTCCCATCACATGGTGAAGTTGGAGTTCATGAAAAGGGACCGACCGGGAGATGCTATTGGTGAAGGTGCAGTGGAGACCCCATGATTTAAAAAAATTCCCGGCCTGTGGGATGACCACAAGGCATGGTGGCAGGTGTAAAGCAGAATTAGCTTGTGCCTACAACACAAGCTGTGTTTGCTGTGGGGGGCAGGGCTGGATAAATGGAGTTCTTCCCAAAGTGCTTCAGAACACAAAAGAATGGGATTTCAAAACACCGCACAATTAGTGGCAGGATTTGATTTACTGTTGAATACTGGTTTTTCTTTGATTTGGTTGTAACTGTGTTTTGACTCCTCCTTCATGGAGTAAGAAAGCATTTAACATGGCTTTTAAAGTTATGTTTTATATTGTGATGTTACAAGCTCTTGGTGATAAAACAGGGGAAACTTAAGAGTTTAATAGTGATCTGTTTGTATGCCAAGTTCATGAGAGGCCAATTGTACTGGTTAGTTTTTTTGTTAATGTAGCTGCAGTCATCTAGGAAGAGGTCTGCAAAAAATCTCTCCATTAAATTAGCCTATAGGCATGCCTGTGGAGCATTTTTAAATCAATCAGTGGTATAGGAGGGCTTACCTCTATATGGGCTTTTGAGAAACAGAAACTTTGAAGCCATATTAAATAACCACACTAGATAACCAATGCCATATCCAATCAGGATCCAAGGCTAATTAATCTTAACATTAAAGTATCTTATGTAGTCATCACTAATAGATGCTTTGATGTTCTAACAATTGAAACAATTACATGAAAATCATAACTATATTGTAATAGTCATACATAATAACTATTTTATTTTCAATTTAAAAGTAGAAGAAAATGTTTTATTCATTAATTTCCTCTTACAATTAACATTGCAGGTGTCTTCATTCAAAAATTGCTACGAGCTACTTAATTTGGTGATAGTACCTTATGTAATTACTCTAATCCTAAATTTTCTCATCTACAAAATTTAGGTTTCTATAGTACTAAATATATAGGATTTAATGGATGGAAAAGGTCTATACAAATTACATACATAGATCAGAAGAACAGTAAGCCAAGAATCTGTGGCCCATAGTACTGTTCCAGTCACTGTCTGTTTACTCTTCTTTACTTAACAAAAGAAATCCAGTTTTTCTGAGACCAATCTGGAATCCTCTGAGAAATACAGCATTGTTTTTCCTATATCATTAAGATGGATATTTTTTCCAAAACAGAAACCTAACATTTCATGCCTTCTAGTCAATAGACACGAAAGGAGCTGTCAGCCTTCCATGATTATAGTGATAATTTATACCATCCCATAACCTTTTATCAGCAACACTAAAGCCATTATATCTAGCTCAGCATTGATTCCAAGTGTCATTAACTCTTGAAAATCCCTTCAAAGTATTATTGGCACTATTTTATAGACATAAATACAGTATATAAAGTCGTATAATGTAACACAACTTTTATTGAACCTGGTTTCATTCTATAGGTAGTCCTAGAAAAAGTAGTCAGCCCTTTCACAGTATAGTAAAACATTACATTTTTCAGGAACAGTATTTGTGTTCTTCAAAGCTGGCACCTGGAGAATCTTTTATGCAACCGCCTATGGGTGTCTCACCGAACTCTTTGCTCTGCGCATTTTGGGGGGAATTTAGGCTTTACCTTCTCTAAATTTCTTGTAGCTCCCTTTTCTAAATTTCTTGTTGCTCCTATCCATCCTTCTTACCATTGCTTAAAATTGCTATCAATTGCTCAGAATTTATCAATGAATTTTCTAGCCATTCTGTATTGTTTCTCTGGAGCCATGTTAAATCAATCCTTCCAAAATGCAATTTCCTGGGTCAAAACCATCAATGACTTTCTCAAGTAATTCAAAATAGCTGAAAGTAGTCAAGGCACTCTGTACCACAGCCTCTTCTCTCTCAGTCAATAATGTCCTTGCATGCCAATGTACAGACACAAGAGATAAAATGTCTTCCGTTCTAGCTGTACAGCTAACTGTGAATATTCTACCTTCATTCAAATCCTATATGAAAATTAATTCCTTAGTTTATGGTGGTGTTTCTTCTTCTTCTGTTGTTGTTTTTACCATAATGCATTTTAATTGCAACATTCATGTTGACAACAAAACTAAGCAGAAGGGATAAGGGTTTCTTATTCACTGCCTGCCCTGATCTGTGAATAAGCAACTCTGTGATCAACATCATTCTCCACAGGAACATCTGTGAGAAATTTTGAGCCTACACTGGTATGTTATTAGCACATAGAATCATTTCTTAAAATTTAAAGATTTCAGTTAGTGAGGTTTTGCATGGATTTAGGCAAGCATGTGCATACATAAATAGATTCATTTCCTTGACCACCCTCTACTTTCTGCCCATTCCTCCCCCTTCTTTTAGATCTTGAGGTTTTTAACATCTCCTAAAGCAATGTATATTCACAATATGTTTCCTGTTGGATGTTTTGCTCTTGTTACTATTGTGTTTGTTTCCAGGATCACTTCTGGATTTAAGTTCTTTGAAATTCAAAACTACATCCTGAATTGTATTTATTTTTTGCTGTAAGGTAGACACATCTAA